CACTTCCACTCGACTACTCACTACACATGGGTCTTTCCAGCTAGAGCATTTGGTAATGAAAGAAGAACAACACACTTGGAAAATCCCAGTTAAAGAGAGGGGAAAAATCGGAAGCGTCAACCAATAGCCAGGCTCTGGACCTGCACCATGCCAGACTTACGGACAGCATTCCAGGTGCCTGGTGCTCGCTCGGTGCATCCCAAGTCACAGGGTTTCTGGAGTTACACCACTCCATAACTCTGGGTTCCATTTCACTTCAAAGCATTCTCTTGCAGAAAAGTTAAGACGCCCCTTTTGCTGTAGATAACTGTGCATGTCAGGGAGGGGATCTAGGAGCTGGGAGTCGGTGTGAGGGCCCTGGGGCCACAGGCCTTCCCCTGGACCAGCATTTGGCTCGCTTCCCTGCCACACAGCCCTGGCCATCTCCCAGAGTTCTTCGGGCACACTAGAGGGGACTGGAGAGACTGAGGACTTGTGGAGGCCAGCACCGGGGGACGCAGACTGCCCTGTGACATGCCCACGAAGCCCATGCAGAGGCGGGTGACCGCATGTAACTCACACATAATCGCTATGATCTGCCTGGCCTGCCAATGGTGAAAAGGACCATGAAGGCTGTCGTCAAGGTGGACCCAAATCACCTGAAAACATGCGCCCAGAGCCGGGTGCGGGGCGGCCACACAGCAAGCTGTGCGCTGCAGGTGCCCATCAGTATTTACTGAGGGAGGCTCCGCAGCCAGAACCATCGTCGGGCAGGAACCGGGAACAGTCTCTCTAAGCTTAGTCTTGGACAGGCAGAACATCATAGTGCCAGAGACAGGCCCTGGTGGCCGTAGACAGGCGGCAGAGGTCCAGCCTTCGCCTCCTGGCATACGTAACTGTGAGCAGCACCACCTCTTTAGGGTCCTGTGACAGGCAGGTGTGACTACGGTTCACCAAACACTGGTGCCGTGCTGGCTCAGACGGAGGCCTGGTAGGCAGCCATTTCAGGAAGAAAATACCAACACAGCTCTCAAGTCTCATGTTCATAACCACGGAGCCTCCATTCACATGCACAGCATCACAGTCCTGGCAAGGGGACGGAGAGAAGGCGACCCAGGCCACGACAGCCCTGCCTCCCGGGACTCGCCTTCTGCTCTGCAGGGTTGGAGGCGACAAGGCCGCTGCTCTCCTGCACGCTGTCTTCTGAGACAGGCTGGAAATGAAAGGAAGGGGCTGGCTTCGTAATGAGCTGCTCAAGGAAAACTGGATCCCAGTGGTAACTGCAGTTCCAATCCCTGGTCCAGTCAGCCCCAAATATGCTGTACACGTGCACATGTGCCCAGGACATGAGACGAGGAAGGGGATCGCGGTGTGACCGGCCCTGTGGAAGGTGCTCCTCTCTCGCTCTCTCCTTCTCTCTCTCCCTCTCTCTCGCATGTGCAGGTGCTCAATCGAGAATAAAGACCCAAGACAGCATGATCCGCATCAGCCCGGGAGTAGCCTGGTTCTGGGTACTCACAGCATCTTTTGGAATCACACCAGACAGACCGGGGAGGTATTTTTAGTCTGGAAGTGAAGGGGAGTGCGGGGGCAGGAGGACAAGGATGAGTCACGCTTTATTCTCTTCTGCTCAAGGCTATTCCGAGCCCGTCCCTCTGACTAAGCGTGAGTGGCCTTGCAGCTGACAGGACCCAAATGCTTAGGAGGCGGCTGTGCTGGCCAGTGTACTTTTTTTATTGTCGTTTCCCCCCATTTTTTCTGACGGAAAGAAAGAGAAGAAAAAGGAAGAGAAATGGGCTTTAATTTTTTTTTTTTTTTTTACCAGAGAGCCTGTGTACTTACCAGAAAGAGACAGAGACAAGAGGGGGAGGGAGAGTGCACCCCCCACAGGCTTGGTCATGCCACAGCTCTGCTCCGTTTCTCCGTCCTGCTGGGACTCTGGGCACACATGCACACATCTGCTGTGTTTTCCAAGCTTCCGGGGTTGAGATTCACATCACAGTCAAGCATGTGGGATGAGCTGGCTCCCTGAACCACTGGGCCATGGAGCCAGCCCAGAGAGCCATGTTGACAGGGTCTCTGTGTGCCTGATCCTTCCACCCCAGCAGCCCAGCTGGCTAGGGTTAGGGCCACGCACAGCCTGGCTGCAGAGGGGACCCTGGCCTCCGTGTAGCCTCTGGCCTCCCTGGCAGTATCCATGCCGATGTCACTGTGGCTGGGCCCACGCTGTCCAGTGAAGGCTGCTTAACAACAGAATCCATTCCAAGGTGGCAAGAAGGCCAGTACGGAAGAAAGAGCGATGGGGGCTGGAGCTCTGGGATGCCTGGGGGAACAGCAGGCCAGGGAAACAAGAAAAACGCTTGGGAAGACCGCCTGGCTTCCTTCCTCTCCAAGCTCTTTCCTGCTGCTCTTCCAGGCTCTCTCCTGAGACTTCTGCTATAACCCCCACTTCTATAAAAGGACCTCACATCTGGGAAGTCTGTGTGAGGAGAAGAACGCTGTATCGGGTACGAGAAACCCAGCCAGGTCCTAAGCCCGTCCATGTCCCAGACCCACTGTGTTACCGAGGACAGATCAAACTTGCTGAGCCCCAGAGGGGGAAGGAAGGGACGAGGGGGCGGTAAACGGGAGATGCATGCAGTGTAAACACCAAGGCTGCCTCAGCATGCCCTGGCCCACGGTCCCGGGGGCCACAGAGACCTGAGACTGCTGCGACTGCAGATGCAGGCCCTCCGGTCAGCACCCGAGCCGAGGGCAGCCTGGCACCCAGGAAAGTGCTGCTCCCACCAATCATAGCCCACCCACTGCACCAGGCCTCTGACCCTGACACCGCTGTCCACACCCATGAGCTCCGCCCAGCCTCCCGTCTCCTGCTGCTCTAGACTGGCCTCTCCAACTCCATGACTGTCCCAAAGCCATCATCCTAGACAAAAAAATAAAATTTCCAGTGCCCAGTGGAGAAGTTAAGAACTGGAAGAAGAGCAAAAACAAAGTGTTCTTTCCTACTGCGGTGGTTTCTGTGTAGGAAATGTGTGTTTCTGGGACATCCTAGGAGCTTCCAAGAAAACGTGAACTGGTGAATAAAATAGCACTGCCCCCTACACTGGCCACGCTGCTCCCCAGGTCATTACGCCCACACGTGCCGGGCTGCGTCTCACGCGCTCTGAAGGGCCAGCGTGGGAGCCTCCCTCAGGGAAGTGCTTCCCGAGCGACAAACTCGGAACTGCTAGGGACCCTCGCAGACCGCCTTTCCTGCCTCAGGTACAACAGGGAAATTCAAAAGCTCGAGGCCAAGGCAGAGCCGGGCAGCAGTCAGTTCTGATGTGGCCTCACGGTGCACACATCGTACGGGGACGTACAGCCAAGGGGCCTTCGAAACATTGGTGGAAAGTGGAACTGAAGCATGGTTGCGCTTGGTGCCAAAATGTGAATCCATGCCATCTTTTCATAACACACACTTTCCCTAAACTTTTTGACCCTTCGGTATATAAAAACAGATAAAGAGTAAGGGGATGAGCTGGTGTGTGTGCATGCATGTGTGCCCAAAATCCCAAGAGGAGAATGGAGGAGAGGCGATTGCGACGTGGCCCTCCCCCTGGGAAGTGATTTCTCATTTTCCCTCTCTCTGTGTCTCTGTGTCACTGGCAAGCACACATGCCCTATGGCAAAGACCTAAAAGAAAAAACAGAGTAAGGTAACGAAAGTAAATGACCTAATTCATCTTGTTCATACACTTATACATCACTCTTGTATATGTTTTACAGGGTCAGACTCTCTAGGTATTCAAAAAAAAATAACACGTTTACATGCGAAAGGGCTGCAGCTATGGTGGGGACAGCAAGTACGCCACAGAGGACACAGACCACACGGCAGCAGCTGAGAATTAAGGAAAGCAAGTGTGTGGAAAAGAGTGCAAGACACACACACCAGCTAACTCATTTCCAGGTAAGATCTGCTTTAGAAAATAAAGGTGAAGGGACCTGCAGCTGGCTTAACGGTTACGTGGCAGGACTGCCAGAGTTGACCGCAGTTTGAGCCCTGGACCTGGCAGCTTAAAACTCATGCCGAGCACATGTGTGTGCATGCCCAGAATCCCAAGAGGAGAAAGGATTGTGGCATGGCCAGCTTTCCCAGGGAGGGACTTCTCACTTTCTGTCTGCCTCTATGTCTGGCAAGGATATGTGTCCTACAGCAAAATTCTCTCTCTCAAAAAACAGGAAGAAAATCACAGTGGGGCCCATGGATGGTGTGGTAGCATAGTGGTTAAGAACTCTCATGTGGGAGGACCAGGTTTTAGTCCTGAACCTGGCCGCTTGAAACTCACACCCAAAATCCCAAGTGGAGAAAGGATTGTGGCATGGTCATTCCCCCCGCCCCCCCCAACCTCATGGGCTTTCTATTGCTCCAGTGAGCACAAACACCCTATAGCAAAAATCTCTTTCTCAAAAAAAGAGAAAGGCACCGTAGCTCCTACTCATGGCTTAGAAATCATGGAGTAGATGGGACCAGCAGTTGGCGTAAATGGCTATGTTGCCTGGACTCCCATGTAGTAGACTGCAGTTCGAGTCCCAGGCCCAGTGGCTTAAGCTCATGCTGGACACGTATGCGTGCATGCCCAAGATCCCGAGGGGAGAATGGAGGACAAGGAATTGTGGCATGGCTATCCCCCCTGGGGAGTGATTTCTCGCTTTCTGTCTCTCTGTCTCTCTTTCTGGTGAGCGCATGTGCCCTATTGCAAAAACCTCTCAAAAAAAAAAAAAATTGGAGCTGAACTGCTTAGATGTGACAGGCTGAGTCACGAAGGTCGGAGGTCTTAAACAGGAGGAAGCGTTGAACAATATAAATGGCAGGATCTCGGCTGTGGCCCACACGCACGCCATGTCCTGCCAGGCACCAACACCTGGCACGTGCGTGCGACTTCAACGCAATCGTCCACGAAGGCACTGTGAGTGCAGGGGAGGCCTCAGACGTTAGGGCGGGCGGGGAAGGGGTGACCATCTGCTCCGGCCCAGCTGACTCACCTCATAGAAGAGCCCTTCTGGGAACTGCTGGAAGCACTGGGCACACACGAAGCACTGCTCGTGGTACAGCTCGCCATTGCTGTTCACGATCTTCTCGGCCGGCGCAAAGCCCCCCTTGCAGCGCTCACAGGTGGCGCTGGCCAGGGCGTTGGCCATGTTGCTGTAACAGAGAGAGCAGCAAGTCACACACCGTCGGCCCTCTCTCAGACAGAAGACCCAGGACGCGCAGAGCTGAGGAGCAGCTGTGATGACGGCGGCTGCGCTTCACCTGCAGAGCCCCGTTCTCATCCGAAACTCCCCGCCTCCACTCCGGCACCCCGGCTCTGAGCTGCTGGACGCCTGCTTCTCAGAATGCCTGGTATACTTCGTGGTAACCATTGTGAGTGCTGCCATCTGTCAGCCACTAGCTCCAGTAAGTAGCTTAACAAAAAGACCCACAAAGACGGGGCTGGCAGGTGGCGTGGCTCCCACGTGGTCGACCGTGGCTCGAGTCTCGGACCGGTGGCTTGCTTTCTCACTTTCCCTCTCTCTCCCTCTGTCCCTCTCTGGTCAAATTAAAATAAATAAATAAAGAAAATTCAATAAAATAATTCTTTTGTTTGTTTGTTTTGAGAGGTTTTTGCTACAGGGTGTATGTGCTCGCCAGAGAGACAGAAAGCGAGAAATCACTCCCAGGGGGGATGGACATGCCACAATCCCTTCTCCTCTCGGGATCTTGGGCATGCACGCACACGTGCCCAGCATGAGTTTAAGCCACTGGGTCCAAGACTCGAACCGTGGTTGACTACATGGGAGTTCAGTGACATAGCCATTACGCTAACTGCTCGTCCCACACACACAAAAAAACCCCCACGAAGCCACACTTCAAAGTCAATGTTTTTCTCTTCTGAGAACACTCTAAACTACAGGTTGACTGCATGCCACTCCACTTGGTTAGATAGCTTATTCCTTTGGTTAGAACCTGTTGAAAGCAACTGATCATGGGGCCACTGGTGGCAAGATGGAAGGCGGTGGGATCCCACATGGTTGACCACAGTTTCAGGCCCAGACCTAGCAGTTGGAAAGACACACCGGGCACATGCACATGCCTGTCCAGAATGGGGGAGAAGGGGTTGAGGTTGAGGTGTGGCCATCCTCCACAGGAGGTACTTTCTCACTTTCTCTCTGTTTCTCTGATGAGCACATTCACCCTCGGGTAAAACTGAAAAGAGGGCCAGCAGGTGGTGTGTTGGTTAAGGCACTGGATTCTCATATGGCAGGCTACAATTAGTCCCACAGCTGGCAGCTGGAAACTCACGCAAGGCACATCTGTACGTGTGTCCGAAGTCTGAAGAGGAGAATGGAAAAGGGATTGTGATGTGGCCATTCCCTCTGGGGGGTGATTTCTCATTCTCCCTCTCTCTTTCTCTCCTTGCAATGAACACACATGCCCTATGGCAAAAACCTAAAGCAAACATCTGCCTTTTTTTTTTTTAAAGAATTATTTTATTTAACTTTATTTATTTATCCATTTTAATTTGACCAGAGAGGGACAGAAAGAGAGGGAAAGTGAGAAAGCAAGCCACCCTAAGGTGTGGGACTCAAACCGCAGTTGGCCATGTGGGAGGGAGTCCAACGCCCTTAACCACCACGCCAACCTGCCAGCCCCGCAAACATCTGCTTACACAATTCTTAAAATGCCCTAGTCCTATTAAGTGATCAGTTCGACGGGCGCTGAGTACCAGTGACAGAATGCATTTTACTTTATTTGCCACAGGGGATGTGCACTCTCAAAAGGCAGAGGGGCAGGGGAGGTAGAGGGAGTGCCTCTTGGCAGGGCATGGTCACGTAGCAAGCCTTTTCCTTCATCCCCCATGCCACCAGGATTCTGGGAATCCATGCGTACATGCGTGGTGGGTTTTTCAAGCCACTGGATCCAGG